CAGACATTGTCGTCTAAAATGTTCTCCAGACCGTTACAACCTGCTTGGAAGAGCTATAGAGTCCGTAATGTTTGAACTAGAGCGAGCTAGGCGTCAAAACATGTCAGCGAAAAACGCCTACAAACACAAACTTCTCTTCTCGTCGGCCATGTTGGCTGTGACGTCACCACACCCATCGATCGATCAAAAATTTCACGTGGACGTCACAAATATCCGCCCGAGGCAGGGGATGATCCAAAAATCGATAAAGATCTATCTTTAGCGCTCATTGATAATTTTTGGAGAATTGAATAATATTCGACGCGAGTTCATTGCGTCACGTGACTAATGGTTTGAAAATATGGCGGAATGTCCACAATGACTCACATCCACATTCATTGATCACAATATCGCGGATTTTACTGAAGCTGATCGACTATCCGTACGTCTTGCTTACTGTTGTCAGGTTCTACTGAATGCCAATACTCATTATACTTGATAGGTTGTAAAATCCCGCCTGTGTCAGCCCTGCGGACTCCTGTCAAATCCTAGGAAATGGAATCCTGTTGGCTGGAGGGGGAGGGGCAGGAGGAAGAGGAGGACATGGAAGAGGATTGGTCGGCTCCTGTGGACGGCAGGGAGGCTCAAGATCAACATCACTCACCAGCACTGGCCCGTTCAACGGGTAAGCACATCTGAATGAAATAAACCTATATGTGGCATAGTAATTTGATTTCATTAAGAATATATTGAATAAACAAAAAGTTCCCTATATAGCCTTCTACATTGAGGGTTTCTCAGGGTATTCTCAAGGTATGTCTGTACCTTCCTTGTCCACATAAATGCAGAAATGTGTAACCTTATAACATTAGTATTTATATATTTATTGAGTGGGAACCACTCTTATGTCATGTAGTCTCTCTGATGGCTATTGTGATTTGTTTAAATTAATGTTTGTGACCATCTTTCCTGTAGTGTCATTTTCAAGTCCAGATGGTCCTTCAGTTGCAAGTGACGGAGCAAGCAGTGCCAGTAGTTCTTCTGCAGAGGGCACAGGCATCATGACACGCATGGAACTCAACACCTTCAAGGCAGGCATGGAAGGGCTGGACAAGGAGAAGATCAATAAAATCATCATGGAAGCATCAAAAGTAATAATCATTATAGATTAACTTTACATTTGTATATTCTTGCTGACCACAGTCATTTGCGCTTGTATCATTTAATTTCATGTAGCAAGGTGTTATACTAGTAGTTAACGTTATACACTATTCTCCTGTATGGTGCCATTTAATAAATGCCAAAATAAATGGATAAGTACTCAAGTCTTCAAGGTAGCACTTTTATAGTTATTATACAGTCTTATTTTATTTTGGTCCCTAGGTGTCGTGGTGAGGCAAGACCACTGGATGCTCGCCCTGTAACACAAGTCACGGTGGATGAGGTGGTGCTGGATGTTCAACCCAGCTTCTGTTACCTTGGGGACATGCTCGGTGCGGGTGGTGGTTGTGAGCTTGCTGCCACCACCAGATGCTGCGTTGCCTGGGGAAAGTTTAAGAAGCTGCTGCCGATCCTAACTTCTAGACACCTATCCCTCAAAACCCGTGGCAAGGTGTTCAGCACATGTGTACGATCGGCCTTGCTCCACGGGAGTGAGACATGGGCACCTACTGCATCGGCACTTCAGCGTCTGCGCCGAAACGACAGGTCCATGATTAGGTGGATCTGTGGTGTCAAGGCCCAGGATAAGACCCCCTCAGCTAACCTGCTTGCCAAGTTAGGTGTGGAAGACATCTCCTCAGTACTGCGATCACGCCGCCTCCGATGGTACGGGCACGTTAAAAGAGCAAGTGGCTGCATCAATACCATCGCAGACTTGCAGTTGCCAGGCAACAGAGGCCGTGGCAGGCCGAGAAAAACTTGGTTAGAGTGCATCCGGAAGGATATAAAGGAGTGTGGTCTGTCCAGCACAGACCCACAGGACAGAGCCAGCTGGAGGCGAGGTGTGCAGAACAGCCGACTGCTGCCCACCCCTGGGACAGGGAAACCGGCAGCAGAAAAATCTAAGCCAGGATAGTGAGTGAGTGAGTATTTTATTTTGGTCAATGTTTATAGCAGACATTTGTTCAGCTATGGCTGTTGTATTCAATGTTCTTCCATCCATGGTTTAGGGTTCTAGGTTCTATGAGAATGAGCTGCGTAAAGAGAAGCAGATGGCCGGCAGGATTTCTGCCATGATGGACAGGCTGGCTTCCATCACACCTCAGCAGCAGCAGGAGGCTCTGCTACAGGTGAGGCAAAATGTATCACAGGTCTCCCTTCAGTTCATTCTTTATAATTTACTGTTTGAAAGACACCTAAGCAATTGTTTTTGTTACTAAAATTGTAAAAGAGAATTTCATGGTTTGTCCCTGGACCCAGTTGCAACCAAAGGCATTTCATGGAAAGCAGCACTCTTTAGTGTGTTACTTTATTTCATGACAATAAGATAGCTTACAATAACATGGTACAAGGATCTTCTGTTTTTTTGATTGTGTTGTAAAAATCAATTATTTCATACCAATTCAACTTTAAAATCACTTCAAGATATCACACTAGGGATTGTTAGTATTTTATTTAGCATATGCAGCTGCTTGAGCCTGGCTACTTCAATAATAATGGTATACCTCAAAATCGAATTTTAAACATATTTGTTTACTCAGGTGGACAAGATGGTGGAAGACCTTGTTGAAGGGAGAGACCTGTCTCGCACTATAGTGCATCTTGACATGGATGCCTTCTACGCTGCTGTAGAGATGAGGGACAACCCTGCCCTTAGGGACAAACCCATGGCTGTGGGAGGCATTGGGATGCTGGTATGTACCCTCTCCTGTATTTACTTCTGGTCATATTATCTGAGGTACCAAAATATCTCAGTCTGGCTTTGAAACTTGTATGTACTAATTTTTTTGGTGCCAAATTTTCTGTTGACTGCTCAGCTTCAACAATGAACTTGTATGTTTTTTATATGTGATTTGGCCACACCAATTTAATTTGTTGGTTCTCGGATTTTTTCAGAAAAAATATGAAGCGACAGGGCGAAAAAAATAAAAATAAAAACAGGTCTAGGCATCCTATTATAGGCTTAAATGCTATGGAATGAGCCATGAAGTCAACACAAAAGGCTGGGTTAAAATTTAAACATTGAATTTTGAACTTTTAATCAAACCACTGCAATGATAGATGGGAAAACTGTAACAACTAGGAAGAAAAGGACTTTCCTCAACTGT